TGAATCATCCAGCCCTCATTGTCCAAAATCTGAACATCATCTCTCATCTTCTCTCCTCTGATTTTCCTTTAGGTATCCATAATTTATTAAAAAAAATTCTCTTATGCTCAGATATTGGTTAGAATACCCTCCTTTTAGGTATCTTCTGTCTACCATGTTAAATAGGAAATACATTTTATATTTGAGTAACTACTTASTTTATGTTTGACACCTTTTGAGGCACCTAGTACAAATTACATCACATTTCTTATAATTATTATTTCCCATGGTGTTAATGAATATTTATTAAACATTTGCTATTGGTTTTGCAATTGTTCTTTCTAAAGTCACCCAGACAGATAGCAGCAGACTCCAGTTTTACAACTACCCTCCTTCATCCATTTTAGAATTAAGTCCTACTTACAATCCTCTGATCTTCTCTTTGACCTTGTCTCCTATAGGAGCAGCTGAATGCAAAGCAGGACATGTAGAAGACAGGAGTATTCAGAAAAAAAAATGTCAGAGCTACATTTGAGCTATTTAGTTTGCCACTGCTTTGTTTTGAAGTACACGGGTTGAAATGGACACCTCTTAAATATTTTTAGCACCCACAGGAAGTATGCTCCCCCCACACACACTGCATATATAGATATTAATTGCAGTTCTACCCTCAATAACTTCACTAATGAGAGATTAAAAAGATGAATTATAAATACTTGAGCTAATGGTTCACAAAGAAACAACTGAGAGGTCAGAGAAGGTAACAGCCACTTTACCTGGGGATGAGACTTTCCTCTCAAGGTGTCACTTGAGTTTGTGTAGGGGTAGGAAATAGGCATTAGACTCATATTCCAGGCGAGGAAATTGGGGGAAGATGTAAAGAAGCTGTGAAGACATATGAAATGCTGTTCACAGAGGGTGTTCCCTCTGCTTACAGCAGGATTTATAAACTTTTTGCAGTCAAGGTCTCACACATTACAGTCAATTCTGATCTTTCTCTGGCTCTTCGACTTGAATTTYACATATTACAAACCAAGAACTGATTTACACATGTTTCCTAAGCAATTCAATTCAATATGCAGTTTGAAACAAAGATAAATTTTGCGCGTCAAAATGGTGAAACATTTAAGATCTGGAATACTAATGGAAAACTACAGATATGGAAGATATGTGGAAAGGAATATTGTGAAATAGGGAGATGGAACTTGATTCCACTGGCAATAATAAAGTCTAAGATCTGTTTTTTAAAAAGATGATGCCATTAAGGAAATTAGTTGCATAGTTAAATTTGTTTYATAGGGTGTTATTTCTATTGTCAATATGGAAGATGAACTAAAGCTAGGAAGGAGTTTGGAAATGGAAACCCATATGTTGACCTGATTTACCCTATTTATATCAATCTACTCCTGTCATTTAAATGCAAGGTTCCCCCTGCCTTTAACTGATCATTACTCACAGCTCTATGGAACTTGGCTTCTCCCATGAGGCAAAGACGGTCTTTAGTGCACATCACCCAGACTAACCTGAGCATTCTCACAGCCCACACTCCAAAAGTCACACACTTAAATAGCATCGTTCACTTGACCTGTTTGGGAAAGGAATGTTTAGAAATTGTTAGAAATTGCCATTCTGAAAGTTGACATGAAGTAATGAGCACACCAAGCAAACAATTTTCAGAACATACACTCTGCCAGCACAATCTATTTTAGACAAACAATGGGAAGCTTAAAATAGCCACTGTGTCATGGTGGCTGTTTTGAAATGAGTAAAATGTTTTAGGTGACAAAGGGACATGTTTGCTCTCCTTCACAAGGTCACAAGGGAAAATGAACAAGTTTCTGTGATGTGCTATAGTGAAAAGAAAGAGAATAATGTGACCGTGACTTCATGAGTATGAAAGTCATATTTGTACTTTCTAGAGGCTTTTCGATCTTATTTATTCCACTAATGATAAATTCTCTTCAGCAACTTAGAAATATTTCCATATAATTATTCCTCCTTTTAAAAGTATATCTCTTCTTATGAGCTTATTACTTTGCATGTCTTAGTGTAAAATAAATCTAAACCTGTATATATATTATATACAAAAGCATATCTTATTTAGCTGCAGCGTTATAAAGGATGGTAGTTTAAAATCAATAGTGTGGGGCATAGAATTAATTAAATTGTGGCATATAAACTCMTAAAACCTCATTTTATATCCATGCTGTATGAAAATTATCTCTTGCTTAGAGAAACGTGAAATATAAGAGTTAGAAAAAATTTTAGAGACTTTTCACCAGTCACAATAAAGGCACACTTAAAGAACCTACATTAACAGAATTTAAATAAAAGGGCTCTTTGTAGGGTTTGAGTGGATCAAGAAATCTATAATAGATGGTAAAARGAACCCAAAGTCTTTAAATAAGAGGAAGTCATTATCACCACCCACCTGTTGACACAAAAACTGGTGCATAACTAGTAAAAGTTGGACCCTAGGAAGAAAAGCTGACTTAAAGAAATCATGCTACAGAGGAAAGCTGCACTTCCCACACCATGGCCAACTAGGGAGAGGCATGAGGCAGCAAGGAGAGTCAGACCTCCATCTGTCCTTCCTTTTATATATTTTCAGCTAGTGGTAAATCCCAGGAATTAAAGGAAAGTGGGGTTCATTATGTAGTTCATAGAAGTTAACATCTGTAGACAAGAGTGCCTTAAAAGTATAAATATGAAACTTGTGGGTACTCCACTACTTTTGCCTCTCATTATTCATTTGCTATACAACAGTCACCATAATCCATTTAGTTGAAGAAACTCCTAGTTTCTTATAAAGGAAAATGCAACATTTTTATAAGCCAGCACATAACACAGGGCATTATCATAGCAGTAAAAATTGGCCACCATGGTACTATTATAAACGTTTGCAGAATAATGTATACCAATTAATGTATAACAAGCAGAGCTACCRCAGTCCCCACTTGATCACTGGTAATAAGACCTAAACAAGTAATCTTAGTTTCCTTTTTAAACCTTACATTCTGTCTTCTCCTCTCTTTTGACAATACTACAAAGAGTTACCAAGTTTTCTTTTTTCCCCTCTCTGAAGGAATGATTCAAATTCTATCACTATAATTTCCATGTCCATATAGAATTCATCTTTATGGGGTTATTTTTCACCAAAATGTTTCTTCAGATTGCAGACATAGTCCTACTTCCTACATTATGCAGTCATACTCCAATTTCCCAAAGGCTCAGGGGCCAAGCATCCTGCCCACTGTTCTGTTTCATAAGTATGATGATTTAGTAGCATAATGAATGCAGTGGTCTAGGGGCAATTTCAGTTTCCAAATGAAAATAGTTGAGATTGGTACTTCTAGARGAATTCCTTTTCTCTTGAGTATCTGTACCTCTAAACCCTCAAAGACTGGAACAGGAAGAAAAAAATCATTTCAGTATATGATTAGGTATATTTATAATTTCTTTATTTCTGAGCCCTAGGGAACTGGGGAATCTAGAAAAGGTGACCCTAAATTAGCTTCTGTTTTAAGGCATTTGTAACTTGCATACCATCACACCAACATATTCCTTGCTTTGTCGCTGACTCCAATTTAAATTGACAGGCTTTACAAACAAAATTAATCCAAATGCTTTTGAGTGATGGAGCACATGCTATGACCAGTGAAGGCCCACTTCAGACTACGGAAAGAGGCTTACTGATGTCTACAGGAAAGGTCACCTTGTCAACCTTATAATCCATAACCTCTTCTGCCCAGGTAACCCTCCAGTAGGAATGTATATGAATACAGATGTGGTCCCAGTTTGCCTATTTTCTAAATATCTTCCTGAAAGACTCCCCTGTAATCAGATTTGTCTTTTTAAAGTACCTGGAAAACTGTCCTCTAAATACTCTTCATGAACCTATGAGGATCYCTATACCAGAACATCTCTCATTGTCTCATTCTGGGCAAAGCCAACAATCAGACTTGTTGCTCAAAGTTCTTTAAACCAAAAAAAAAATAATAATAATTTGGAAAGCAAACTGTTAAATTCATATTTTTAATTATAAAAATGTAGGATTTTTCACATATTTGTGGGGCATTAGTATTTCTTCTTCTGGAACCAGGCYATTCACATTCTTTGTTAGTTGTCTTCTGTATTAAGCTTTTCTCAATGATTTATAGATACTCTTTGTATATTGTGAACATTAATCCTTTGTAATGTATTTTCTCTGTCATTTGTCTTTAATTTTGTTGTAGGATTTCACAATGTCCCATGGGTGTCTCTTCCTTTGACTTCTGTGTTTCATGTTATACTTAGGATTTATCTGAGAGATGATTCAGGTGCTGCTTAGACATTCTGAAAAAAAAAATGGCCACAACACTTCTAGTGGCAGAAAAACATGCTATTCAAAAGAAATTATTTATTTAAGCCAGSTTCAGTGGAGCACACCTGTAATCCCAGTGGCTTGGGAGGCTGAGGCAGAATCATAAGTTCAAAGCCAGAGCCATCTATGAGGCTGAAGTGAAGCAATGCCAAATACCAAGCAGATCAATTTATATGGCTGACTCAGAGATGGCTAATTAGATTTTCTTTTAACTGGACATAAGAAACTCGGTATGAAACTATTTACATTGGTTCAGAGAGAGTGATAGTATGTAGAACAGGTATCATTTTGACCACAATTTATTTGCATCTTCAAGGCCTCATTGGGTACAAGTACAGTATATAATTTTCATTTAATACTACAATGCTTGCTCACATGTCTCACTTTCTGATTGGGGGATCAAATAACACATTTCATAATGGATATTTTGGGTTTTATATTTACTTAATGTTTCATGAGTGGTCATTCTCTTTATATTGTTCCAATTACAAGACAAGAACTGTTTTAACAGATATAAATTTTGTCAGATTATAGCATGACCTTATTTTAACACATGTGAGTCTTCATCATGGTTCTTCCAAAGGAATTAGCTRAAGGCTTCAGATTCTATCTCTATATGCTGCTGACCAATCAAGCACTTTTTAGCCTGTTGGATCATATTACTCAAGTGCTGCTTATACCACACTTTGAATATGAAATAGAGCACTTACTTGCTATTTGCACTTCTGACACAGGAAGCATTATAGACTATGAGATTCACACCCTTTCTTGTCTCTGAAACTCAAAAACCTCACCAGCATTCTTCTTTCAATCTAATATGTAGTATAAGGAACAGTAACTTGTCTTTTACTTCAAAAGGGATTTCCTCATGTGCCCAGAAAATGGAACCCTAAAATGTTTAATGATATAATATCCCTGAATTTCTCATAAATTTTCACACTTTTTTTCCAAGATATCAATGTGTTCAATTTCCCACTCACCAGGCTCAGTTTGCGTAAAACATAAGGATATTGTATAAAAGAGGCATTTTAAGGGATAACAAGAGGGTAAAATTTCTTCAGATTATGTTATGACAGCAAGAAAGTTGATGTAACCCTGCATGAAGATAGTAGTGGTATAATGTTTCTCTGAGACAGGCAGACTGTTTCTGATGTCTTTTTGCTCACATCGAATATAGATCATA